CAAATCCAAAGTGAATACTAGCCGCTTTGCACAGGCCTATTTTCTAATACAGTGTTTGTTGCCCCTGGCTCAACTGCCTCTCCTTGCTGCTGCATACTGCATAGATATTTCATACCCCAGAACCAGAACAATGTTAAAATGGCTGATAATCTAAATGCATATGACATACGGTCCCCACTATAGCTGTTGATGCAGAAAGGGTTAACACAGGTGCACGCATTTCCAGCCCTTGAGCATCATTAACATTTTGTATCAATACCGCAAAGTTCTGTGGTGAGAATAATAGGATTGGTCCATGGCTGCTCTGAACTGCCCTTGTTGGATAAATACATAATACATGATGGCAAAGGTCTGGTAGGGACTTTAATCAATTCCCTTTCTCAGGAACATAAATGTTACATCAGATGTAAGCCATGTTACCTGCCCTGGGGGCCTGTAGTCCCTTTACTGCATAGGCCTGACATGGGCACGAACATGAAAGAGAGCTAGGCCTGTACATGGTAGACTCTTACCAGTTTGTAGTACAGTTTGTAGTAGTGGAGTAATTATAGGTTTAGGACATCTTATGACAAAAGAAAAATGGAAAAGAAAAGAAATATGGGGATATGGTCAGCATGATGGATTGCCTCAAATACCTCTGCACGCAAGCTGGCAATGCCACACCACCTTGGACAGTAATTGCATCATATCTCAGGCTCTGCTTTCTTCCCATGGGGAAGGAAAAGAAGGTGCTATTTTTCCTACAGCCACCTAACAAAATAAGAGTTGACATTAAAACTGAGAGCCATATATTCTCCCCCCACCCCACTTCCCGATATCAACCAGACAAAGCTTTTTGAGGGGCAAGGATGTTTCTGCATGTGCCTGAAGAAATTAAGAATTTCTGCTCATTCTACTATGTAAAAATATTCAGAATCAAACAAAAAACAGCTGTGAATAAACTGGCAAAAGTAAAGTCTTTCACTAATTTAAAAAAGGACTATTCTTCTTGTGGCATGTTTCAGGAAGCAATTTTACAGTCATTTCTTTTACCACTGAACAAGGTATTGGATGTGGATTTACAAGGCTTGATCTACATACAGTATTTCTCCTGGGAGAACTCAAGTTCTACTGGCAAAACCTTGACTGTCTTTAACTTCATAACTCCTCTGGGGTGGCAGAATCCCCCCTCTCCTGATTATCTGACAGCAGAGTTACACTGTCTATGCTGAGTAGAGTGACTTCTGCTGCCCTGTACACATGCCTGATTCTCCCATATCTTCTGTTAGCTTTAGTGGCCCCTTCATCAGCGACTGCTTTTCAGGGTGCATGCCATGCTCTGGGTGTGCAGCTACTGTAGTGGAGCTGTGTGGCACACCAGAAGCACAGGTCTATCCCTGTGCTCTGACAGCTTGGACATAGCAGCTGGGACCTCCACCAGTTGAACACGTAAGCATGGACAAGGCCCTAGACTAACATGAAGAATACCCCAAGACTAGGGATGTTTGGATCTGGAATTTTAGGTCCTAATTTGCAGGTGCCCAAAAACTTGGAATTTCCACTTTAAGACATTATGGACCTCATGATCAGGTGTGATTTGATGAAATCACCGGAAACTGAATCATCTCAATACTTCTGAAAATCTGTTCTGTGGGGTCTCAAAAGTTGGGCATCCAAAACCAAGGGGCACAAAATGTTAGCGGACACTTTAGAAAATGTTTGCTTTAGTTCCAGCCCATCTCAAACGATCTATTAGTACTGCAATGCATCGGCAGTGCTAAGCTTCCTTGTATACAGCAATAAAAACTCTTACTACTTTAGTGACTCCATTGATTTTACACAATCAATGTGTGTTATGAAACAGGAGGAACATGTAAACTTTTTAAATTAAACTTACTAGAAACTTGGCAAAATGAAGAAAAAGGCATGAGAATTCTACTTTTCTTTCTGATCTAGATGTTAAGAAACAAGTCCCTGAATTAAAGCAGTATTTTTTCAGTGAAAAAAACCACTGAGTTGACAACTTATACACCAACAGCCAAGCAGAAGTGAATCAAACAGCCAAGAAAAAACCCAGGCAGAACATGGTTTTGCAAAGGAAACCAATGATAGATTTTTAACTCTAGCACTGTTGGGACCACAAACAGTAAGCATATTATTACATATACCAAAGTTAAGTGAGAACAATGTTAACACCAGGTTGGATGCACTGGTATTAATATAAATGGTACTGGTTCACACAATGCTGCCAGTCCTACTGTGGTATGGGTTCCAGATTAGGGGGTTGCAGCCCAATAAGTACAGGTCAAAAAACCTAGTGGAAAGGTTTTCTATACCTGAGGCAGCCCTACACTGTGTTTTGTGCTGACTGAGAGCTTGAAAGGCATATTACCCACTAGGGCAGGCTGTACCCATACCTTACAGGAATGTTCCAGCCACTGCTCCCCTAACTTCATCCAGAAATACACACATTCATTCTGCAGGTGTTTCCAATTCTTCCCATCACACCACAGCACTGGATTATTCTGAGACCCACAGACTGATGCTGCCCAGAAGCCTGGGCAGACAGCTGGGTTAGAAGACTAATACATGCTTATAAGGGAGCGTGACAGCCAGAAGGACCCATAAAACACTTCACAGGGGGGCTCCAGCTCTCCTTGAATGAACTCCAAATAAAATACATGAATCATGTCATGGAGAGGTCTAAAATGCCAGGTACTTACATGAGAGACTGGAGAGGTACCTTCAGGAGAAGACCGCAAATTGATCTCAAGGATCTGAAAAGGAGTAAAGAGAAAAAACAACATGAAGAAATAAAGCAGCTATAAGCGAGCCAAATGATATCAAGTTAAAAAGAAGGGACAAGAGCCTCCAGTGATTCCTATAGGAAAGAAAAGACTTTTCACTTTATGGACCTTGCAAGCTCCCAAATTACCTGAGAGAAGGTACTGGATATCTCAGGGAACTGGAAAATGGGAAAAGGAGCCTTTCTGCCTACGATGTCAGTTTGAATCCAACCCAAGCTGGCAGAGACTAAATGGTGTTACCATTTGGTGCTGTTCAGTTGCTTATGTGACATAAGTTGCAGTCTCTGTGGAAAGGTGTCCTTGTTACAAAACCTACCATTGTAATCAGCACTAACCGGCCTTCTGGTTAGTGTTCTCGACAGAAAGGCTAAGGATTAAATTGGCCAAAGAAACATGACTTCCTGTCTTGGATGCAGATGTAGTTCTTTCAGGTTCCACGCATGCTATGGGGACTTGGTGGGAAGGAATTTTGTTCTCGAGCTGCTAGGTCTGTCACTAAACTGTGGCATACAAGTCCCTTCTTTAAGATCAGAATCTTTGGGCTCTAGGACTGACTAGTTATGTATATACTCAGGGAAAACTATAGCCTCCTGGTAGTTGAATGTTTTAGCTGTCAAGAGACACTGTGTATAAGAGCATCATTTTGACACTGTAATGTCCGGTTATTTTCACAGCAGAGGTACAGGAAATAAAGAAGAACTCCTGAGAAGGTTACCAAGCATGCTAATAACTACTCATGAGTAACTGTATATATAGATGCCATGTCCCTACTGTAGTGCACTACCTTATGGAAACTGTAGTTTGGAAGACTAATGTACCCATTTTCTCATCATCTCATTCCTTTAAATGGAAGGTTTGCAGAGCAGAGAAGTCAAATGAATTTTAAATTTAAATTAATGGTGCCATGTAAAGGAAGAAGAGGTCTTTGGAAAGAGATCTTTCTGCTGTCAGCAGAAGTAGCAATGTTTATTTAGCAATTATTAGTCAACAAAGGATTTTACAGAACTGGATGGTCTACTATTACAGAGCCATGTCCTGAGACATTGTTCCAAGGAGATCTTTACTCCTGTATTCCTGAATGTATTTCAAGCTCTATATTCAGGAATAAGAAGCATGACAGGGATGAAAAAGGGGTGAAAGGCTGATGTTAAGAGGGAAGATGCAGAAGTCCGGTGTGTAGCAAATTGTGGGCCTAGGAAACTAGAATAAGAATGGGTATGAATGCGTGGAAGTATGCATGCACATATTTGAGCATGTGGCCAAAAAGGCAGGTAACTGAGAAAGTGAAAAGGAATAGGCACAGAGAATTCCAGGAAACAAAACATTCAGAAAAACAATGGACCAGCCAACAGGCTGTAGACAACTTCTGCAGGGTCAGCTACCCAAGGAAGAGCTACAGGAGGCCTTATTTAGTAGGATTCTCCTCTGTATGCATCAGAGATGCCAACCACTGTCACATGTAAGAAGAACTTGGCGATAACAGACAGCAGACAGAAAGGCTGAAGAGCCCCAGATTCACAAACCAGCTAGGGGTATGTGAATCTCAGGGCTTCTGTCATTTTTAAAGACTTCTAATTGTCAAGAGCTTTAATAGTAAAGTATCTGTGGGTAAGCAACTCTTTGGCTATGCCTGTGTTTCTTGCTTTGCAACCAAGCTGTCCCTCAAGGGTTTAAAGGAAAAGCCCAGAGGGCCTCCAGTCTAGGGGAAGCTGTGAGAGTATATGTGTGTATGTTCGTGCCTTGGAGGGTTGGCAGGTGTGAGACAACAGTTAGGAGGTGTGAGACACTGGTTTTAGAGTCTATGGCAACTGGATAGTAGCACACCGCTTCCTAAGGGAAGGGTCTTGGACAAGAGGCAAGAGCTGAGAACATGCCCCAGTGCCCCAAAGCTAGAAACAGACTAGACTCTTCCCAGACCCAGATGACTTGGAAGTAAAGAAGACCCAGCAGCTCAGTCTACTTGCAACACAGGAGTGAACTTGGGGTACTGGGTCAGCCTGCGACAAGCACTCCATTAGGATGGTTTGCGGGACCCTTAAAAATGTAATCAATAGGTCCAGCCTGTCCAGTACCCTCCATTTTATAAGACTCCCCTTCCCAGGCCTTTTCCACCAGTTCCACATCTCAGCCCTCCCACATCCCCTGCAACTTGTTCCAGGATGCCTGTTCCACACCTCTCAGCATAATCTGGCTTAATCCTCCCTGCCCACTTTTATCCCAGCTTCCCTCTTTGCTATGCCCTTGGGATGCAGCTTCTCACCATTCTCCATTCCAGTCCGGAGAAGTTTCCTCCCCTTTGCTGGAGGGAGTGAGGTCATTGAGGGTGCACAGAAGAGACAGCTTCCCTGCTCCTGGTTTCTATGTTTAGTACCACAACATCCTCAAGAAGCTGAGAGCAGTTGTTGTAGGCATGACCTGTTCAGGCCCTCCCTCTCTTGGATGGAGCATGCGTATAGTACGCAGAATCATTGTGGAATATAGTTGCCAAAGTCTAACAAGCCTTGAATGGGCATGTGCAAACTAAGATTTTCCCAAACTGGTCAAATTTAGTTTTCTGATGGAGTGGGCAGGGGGAAGCATAAAATACAAACCCCCTAATACCAGAATGACTTTCAAATTTCAAACTCCTGCTGCAGAACATAGAGAACCTAGAACTTTTCAGTGAAATGATTGCCGGAATCTTGCAACATGGTAATTTCTTTAACAATGTGTTTTTTTCTTTTTTCTGAGCTTGGTTTTCAGAACTGTTTGGGCTGAAATTTTCCATGAGGAAGAAGCGGAATAAACTGGAAGCAGGCACCAAATGGTTAAAATTTGACTAATTTATAAGCATCTGAAATATGGATATAACAATGGGAAGCATCAGACAGCCTTAGCTACTGCTATAGCTATACCTGGCTATCTGCACTGCCTGTAACAATTACTTTAATTCCTGAAGATTCCAGAAGTCCTTTACAGACTATTGTCCCAGTCCTCTGAGATGCTCCTGACTTATATGGGAGGAAGGTGCTTTCAGCATTTGACAAGAAGCATTTATACCTTTGCAGAACTGGGCCATAGAAAAGGTTCTGAAAAATCATATTGAGGTTACTCAGCTCTGAGATGAAACTTAGCAGCTGTTAGGTAGTGCTGGTACACAGCAATGCTATGAAGAATCCAGTTGGAGGAAGAATACCATCACATCCAGGGAAAACTGGAGGGAACTTTTAGACAGGCACAATGTAATTATTCAATTTGAAATTTGGCAAATGAGCAGGGCTAACACTCTGCCAAAAGCACCATAAATGTTTTAATGATCACAAATGGATCAGACACTTGATTCTAAGTTGTGTCCAAAAGACAAAGTATAAAAATAAGGCTTTCCATTTGTGGCATCTAAAAAACAGGATGTATCTGAGGAAACTGTGATTCACTCCATGTAACGATAAGTACAGAAGACGTATGCTAGAGAGAAGGGGAGGGGGGCAAATTCTGTTCTCTTACATCTGGTACAATGTTCCTGACTTCACTCAGATTAAGAGCAGAATATGAACCATTCAAATGCTAGGGTGTAACTTTTTATCATATGGCACTATGCGTCACTGGAGACGCACTTAACCTAATTACATTACATTAATACAGCAGAGTTCTCCAAGACACGCTATTATATAACATATACAAAATCTATGAAAACTGACCATTTTTCCAGTACTCCATGCTGTAAATGGAATAATCCTCTGACTCATATGCCACTCTTAGCCTTCTCTTTTTATGTCATTTGTTTTCAACACAAATATTACTGCATTTGATAGGTGTGGGCAAGATGATCCAATTGATCTTTTCCACTTTCAGTTTACTAAATAATTTCCAAGAAAAGATCACTACTACTTTGAGCTGAATTCCACTTTATAGGAATCCCCATCCTTAGAGGTGTATGTGAATTTTCTACCAGGGCTTGGGGGCAGGGGTGTGGAACTGACTCCTAACCCAGGCAGGAATCACATAACAACAGTACAAACCATGCACCTGTATGGCTACAGGCCCCTGTTGCATTATGATTATATTTTAGCATGGCCGCCTGGTCAAGAATAGGAGCACCAAACTGAACCTTTGGTACAAGGCCTCCAAAAGGCAAACCCTGATGTTGACTCCTGGATTTGGCTCAACACTCCAATGCTTCCATGGTTACCATTTATAGTACGTCTATACTTCCTCTAAGACCACTGAAAAGGGGTAAGCCCCACCACTTTGTTCCTACTCTGTACACACTGCAAACTGGAAAAATGGCATGTGACTATGGTTGGGATGGTATCAGGATGTGCCCAGCACTGTTTTGCTGAGGACACTTGAGACTGAGACCCTGAAAGCATCCCTGGGCATGCTTCAAAAAGCAACCACAGGGCATATTTCTTCAGGTGAAGCAGGATTGAATAGCTAGGTATTATTTCTCAGCAATGATCTTGGGA